GTTAGTGAAAATTTAAAAGTTTGTTAAAATAATATTTAAAACAAAATTATTAAAATTGATTTGATGTAAAAGCATGAAATAAATGATTGGAAAATGATAGGTAGTTAAAATTATGTGAGTGGATTAATAGTGAACTAAAGTTGATGTAATGTGGAAGAATATTAGTTGAATGATATTATTTAGTTATATTGATAATAATGATGATAGTGGGGTTGAGTTAAAGTCGAGTTAGATTTTTGAATTGAAATAAATTTTTTTTCTAGAAATTTGATAAACAAGCACGACTGAAACAATTCCAAAAAATGAGAGAAGAAGAATGTGAATGGGAAAAAATTTCTTGCAGAAAATAAATTTGTATGTAATAATCACGACAAAAAAAATTCGATTATTTTATATTGCCCTGGCTGATAAAAGTTTCTGCATCCGCCGCTGCTCTTAAGTCTCTTCTTCGTGATTTGGCTCAACCGGTAATTGGGCCGGTGACTTCGTGCATCTGACTGGGGACAGCAGCTCGGAACTACGAGCTCAAAACCATCCACTACAACCAACTCCCATCCTTCCATGGTCTTCCCAATGAAGATCCACTTCATTTCATGCGTGAATTTTATAATGTCCTCCAAACATTTCCACTCCACGGACTAAATGAAGACCAGTTGAAGATGAGTTGTTTTTCGGAAACACTCAAGGATCGGGCTAAGGCGTGGCTGATGACACTCGCTCCAGACTCTCTTACCACTTGGGAGCAAGTGTACTCAAAGTTCATCGGGAGGTATTACTCCCACCAGAAAACTCAAGAGCTCAGGTCCCAAATTGTTTCTTTTGCTCAACAACCGCACGAGCCACTTCACGAAGCGTGGGAACGCTTCAAGGACCTACAGAGACAGTGCCCACACCACAATCTTCCTCCGGCCCTCTTGATGAACGGCTTCTATGATTCTCTCCACCAGAACCTTCAGTACATTGTGGACGATGCAACGGGTAGAGACATTGGGGCGAGAACAGCGGAGGAGATGATGGATATCTTTGAGGCGTTGAGTTCTAGCTCGTCTCAAAAGAGCAGTCGAGGGAAAAGAGCGGTGGTGAATGAAGTATCTCCGAGGCAAGACATGATGGCCCACCAGATAGCTGAGCTTACAGAACAAATGCGGCTAATGAATGCTCGGACAATGCAGCCAGTCCAGACTATGGCAGTAGATACTTGCGGGGCGTGTGGAGCCCAAGGGCACCGGTCAGAGGTGTGCCCATCGGCATTCGATCAGGACCTTGGAGAGCAATATGTCGACGTCAATGCTCTTCAAGGATATCAGAACCGGCAGCCCAACGACCCCTTCTCCAACACTTACAATCCGGGATGGAGAAACCACCCTCACTTCTCGTGGTCTAACAACAACAACACTCTCCAGCCGCCTCGTCCAAGCTTCAACCAACAACAGCCTCGTCCCAACCTCATGCAGCAGCAATCCCGTCCCAATTTCATCCCTCGCCCAACCTACCAACAACAACAGAAACCTCAACAGCCAGCCCAAGGGTCCGGTTCAAGCTCGTCTAACCAAGATGACAAGCTGGACAAGATCCTTCAGTTTATCACCAACCAGGACTTGTCTATTAAGCGTCTTGAGACGCAAGTGGGCCAACTTGCCACGAGAGTCGGGAATATGGAGGCCGAGTCCGACAAGGGGAAACTTCCGAGCCAGCCCGAGCAAGCAAAGGCAATAACAGTGTTAAGGAGCGGCAATGAAGTGGATAACAAAGTGAGAATGCCCGAGCCTGATGACCCCAAACCAACCGACCAGCCCAAAGAAACCGAGGGGAGTACGAAGAGCACAAAAACCGACTCGAAAAAACCAACAGAGAGTCCTTTGCTTCACAAGTCACCAAACCCTTACAAGCCACGCATCCCTTTTCCGAGTAGACTCCGTGACGAGAAGCAAGAGCAGCAATTCCGGGACCTTTACAATATGCTCTCGAAGGTCAATGTCAACTTGCCTCTCCTAGACGTGATCAAGAGTATGCCATCGTATGTTAAGTTCTTTAAAGATTTGGTCACAAAGAAGAGAAAGTTCGGAGACGGGGAGAAGGTGATAGTCTATGAGGCGGCAAGTGCCATGCAGCACGATCTTCCAAAGAAGGAACAAGACCCGGGAGGTTTCGTGATAAAGATTGTTCTTGGGAATGGAAAAGAAGCTTTGGGGATGCTCGACCTCGGAGCCGGAATCAACCTAATGCCGTTTTCTATCTTCCAGTGGCTCGGTTTAGAAGATTTGAGACCCACTCGCATGTGTCTTCAGCTTGCAGACCGTTCGATCAGATACCCCAAGGGGGTAGTTGAGGATGTCCTTGTTCGTGTCGGGAGACTCATTGTTCCGGTAGACTTTGTGGTACTGGATGTGGGGGACGTTCACGAGAACGGGAAGGACCACACTATCCTTCTCGGCAGGCCATTTATGGCCACCACCAACACCCTCATTGATGTCAAGAACGGGACCTTGAACATGACGGTCCTAGGCGAGTCCGTGTCTATCTCTGTCCGAGAGGCCACATCTGGCCCTTCGGCGAACTTTGTGGAGGAGTGTTCGTTCGTTGATGTGAGTGATCCTTTTGTTGAGGAGATGGCCATACGAGACTTGGAAGAGATGTCATTGCCCGATCTCGAAGAGGAAGAAGGACCGTTTGTTGAGCTAATGGAGGTCGAGGAACCGAGACCGAAGGCCCTACCAACGCTAGAGTTGAAAGAGTTGCCTCGTCACCTCAAGTACGTCTTCCTCGATGATGAGAAGCAAAAGTCGGTTATCATCTTTGTCGAGCTTGACAAGGACGAAGAGAAGGAGCTGCTTGAGGTTCTCAAGATGAATGAGAAGGCTATTGGATGGAGCCTAGGTGACATTAAGGGCATCAGCCCTTCCACGTGTATACACCGGATCATTCTAGAGGAAGGTGCCAAACCATTTCGGGACAGCCAACGACGGCTGAACCCGAATATGATGGAGGTTGTGAAGAAGGAGGTACTTAAACTCTATTCCGAGGGGCTCATTTATCCAGTAGCCGACAGCGAGTGGGTCAGCCCCATCCATGTGGTGCCGAAAAAAGGGGGCATCACGGTGATCGAGAATGAGAAGAAAGAGATGGTCCCCACCCGAATCACTACCGGGTGGCGAATGTATATTGACTACCGCCGACTGAATGCCGTGACGAAGAAGGACCATTTTCCGTTGCCGTTCATTGATCAAATTCTCGATCGTCTCTCCGGCCACCAGTTCTATTGCTTCCTCGATGGACTCTCAGGCTACTATCAAGTGGCCATAGCTCCGGAGGATCAGCCCAAGACAACCTTCACGTGCCCGTTCGGCACATTTGCCTTCAGACGTATGCCCTTCAG